AAAAACGGTTCGAGTAAATTCCATTTTGTTTGTTGATCCGTTTAAAAACACGTGAAAAAATAAAAAAAAAAAGATTATCATCAAAATCGACTTGTCGTCGGGCGTATCAAATGATAATGCCTGGCGGTCAGTGGTCACACGAATGATCTATAATTCGATAATCGTTGACGTCGCGTAAATCAACAAGCCATCGGATAAATAACTTCATTGTACTTATAAAGTTACGCACAGTGTTGCATATTAAACTCTTCTACGCCGATTCACCGCGGTTCTGCGGTACGCAATTATAATAATTTGCAATTAGGATCGAGTGGTTATCGCGAACAAAAGTCGATTTATCACGCGCGCTCTCGTGTATTATTACGCCGGTTATTCGGGCGAATTTACCGTCGCGTGTATGTATATACAAGTGTACAGTCCGGTAACGAACGGCAATGCAGTTAACTATTAACGCGTACCGAAATGCGCGCGACGAGAAGAAAAAAAAAATCGTGAAAACCGAACCGCAACATCGCGTTACGAGTCCGATTACGAGTTATTGGACTTTTTTTTTTCCCCTCTTTTGACCGGTCGGTGGCGGCACAAGAGCCGTTTCGGCATCGGCCGGCGGTGGCTCTGTCGGCACCGATTACGGCCGTGCGTACGGTCCGGCGGCCGAGGTCGCCGGTCGTTCGCGCGACCCGCGTGAAGGCTTCGCGCGAAGGAGCCGCGAGAAGAGTACTGCGGCAACGACATTTGAGCGGCGCGGTTTCGCGTCGCCGAGAAACGGCAAACGTTTCCGTTTTACGCGAGCGACCGTTCCTAATTGTTTCGCGTTAAACGTCGCCCCCGCAACGGGACAACGCGGCCGTCCAACCGTTTCGCCGCGCGCGCGCGCACATACTTTGGGTATTGGGCGCGCGCCGTTTGAATTGTACGCCAGAGACGACGCGTCAACGGCAGGCCGGGACCACGTGACCGTTAAAATCCCGTAGGAAACGTTTTCCGTTTCCCGTTCGACAAACACATTAGGTCTCGGGCTAAACACCGGCCTCGCGGCGTTCCGCCGTTGTTCGCCGTTCGCTTTTTATTTTTCCGCTGGAAAACTTTACGCCTCGCAATAACAATACAATTTATTCATATAGTTTTGACGGAACGCGCATTGCAAACAATACACTCGCTCGCACTTACGTAACGCACAACAGCGTCGCCGTAACGAGAATTTTTTTTTTTTCACGATATTTTCAGTCGGACAGCTCGTAACGCGAGCGCTCACGGGTAAAATATCCTCTGTGGAAAGTTACCCGAATTTCCATTAGGCACCAACAGCATTGCTACCATTTCGTTCGTTTCAATTGAAAATAAATATTAATATCGCGTCGGTTCGCTTATGGTTTTACATTTCTTTTTTCACATCTAACAACTAATTGAACATTAATAATCGCAATTTCCTATCATCTAGGAATAGGCAGCCGTTTTTCGCTGTCGGTGGAAATCCGATGGACTTGAGAGCACTAACCGCCTAAGCCGGTCACTAATATACATTTGTTCACGTGTAATAGGTAGCGGTGGCGGCGCGAAGTATTTTCACCTTGAATCACCTATTTAAATTTCCATCGTCCGCCTCACCACTACCGAAAAAAAAAAAAATCCCAAAATCTACAAACCAGACATGAAAACCGAGTTTTCTCGGAGGTCTTTAATGAAATTTATCAAATTTCTGCGGTATAAATTTCTTTTTACGACCATCGTTTTATAAAAACCTAATGACTTTTGATATATTTCCGAACGCCCAGGCGCCCGCGACCCGACCACCAGTGTTTTTTTGTGAATCGCTCGATTCGAATATACCACCGTCGCGCCGCCACTGATGGGTAACATATAATTTATATATTATATTTGTATAGTAACTTTGAATTAAAATATAATCGGAGCGCGAATAAAAACAATTACAATTTTACAAGGAAAACCGAATGTACCTATATTATGACGTATATAATTATACAATTTAACATGTATATACATATATATATATTTTTTTTTTTTAATTTCTCACGTGTTTTAATGAAACAAAGCTGTTGGCGTAAAGGGATGTTTGTACGTTTTCACAAAAATTATTATTTAATTATCGAATAGAACGTTCAAGTTTAAATCTCGTTATTAAAATTGAATTAATCGATGGCACTTCAATTATTTCGATGTTGAATCGTGATTTCTTAAATCTTTAAAGCGATACTCCAAAAATGCACATTATTGCACACCTGCTCGTATGATATAATATTGTATGATTTAGTCGGTATAGGTTGTCCGAAATAAATCAGGTTTTTCGCGGCGTTTAAGGTGAGATGTTCTCAACAAGGCGCATAGAGCGATTTTGTTAATATATATATGCAACAAAGTAATTCGAAATATCACCCCTCTCTAGAGTTTTGGAAAATTTCCGCCTATGCTTGTGGCATTTGGTTTTGTCGTTGACGCTTCTATCTGCACTTAGGTACAAAACAGTATGAAGGTTATGTCGGGTTAGGCGTAGGTATTAAACAACGGACAGATAGAAAACCGTTATATACGGTTATAGTAGTTTTGCAAACCAACCAAAGGATAGGCGTATTAGGTTTTCGTTAAACGAGCGAATTATAATAAAATCGCGTGACACAAAACAGCAATTCACTGCGAATTAAAAATTACATTGCATTACCACGATGTAATTGCCCGTCTCGTTAATTTTATTTTTAGTACACTTTTTTTTTTTTTTATGTAACATGTTAACGAATAACTTTTAAAATCTAAACGGATTCAAAGATATTTAATAACGAAAATGTATCGTTAACTATTTTCGCAACAAAACATTAAAATTATTAAAAGTCTTAGGTATTAACTATTAAGATTAATATTTTACTTAGCTTAACGTGAAAATTATAAAAAAGTTATACTACAAGATATTAAAAAAAAAAAAAAAAAAAAAAAAAATGAAAAAGAAAAAACATCTTAATTTTCATCTTATTAGCAAAAACGAGTTTAGTTTACATTTGATACGTGTTGTACAATTTGAAGATATAATCTCTAATTTCTATTACAATAATTCATTTAAATAAATATTTAAATAAAAATGCATTAAAAGACAAAAAAAAAAAATGTCAATGTTAAACTTTAATCAAAGTATCGTGAAGTTAAGAGTATAAAAAAAAAAAGAAAAGGGGAATCAAAATACTACGTTTAAAAAGTTTCATCTATCTTTATTATTATTATGTTTTTACTGGGCTTTTATCTACCTCACTCTGTTATGTAAAGTTTAAGTTTATATACTGAGTGCGGGGGAGGAAAACACGGAACGATTATAAAATTTCCAAGTGGTCATCCATAGTAAGTTTATATTGTTTATAACAAAGTTTAACTACACAAACAACACTTGACCGGAGTAAATTGACCATTACATTATTATGTCGACTAATATTATTACTGACGAATAATTCTACCAATTAACTAGTTGAAGTATAGTATAAATATAATTAATTAATAACTTGTGCGTTTTCTCCAGTCTACAGTGTAACATTAGGGTTTTAGCCGTTTCGGATATCAAATTTGATTCAATAACAAATGTGTTGCATAAATTGTTTAGGATATCGCGCTAATGAATTACCTGCATTTAGTGGTTCCCAAACTCGGCGGGTCAAGCGAGGTAATTTCGAACAGAACAGACACAGACGTTCGATTCGTGTACAACAGATTCGTACAGACGAATTTTTAGCACGCGTACAGCGGCACATGTATTGCTCGCCCAGCACCCGCTATTGTAGATTATAAGCATTCCCGGCGTGCCGGTTATTATTGACCCCGTGGTATTTAACCGAGTGGTGGGTGTAAAATAGTGAGGGGTCGTGTCGAATTCCGTGGTTACACACAGCCCCTCCTTCCCCTTGTACAGGTATAAATTAAAATTAACAATGACGTTTCCGACGATGTGCGTTTTTAACAGAACGGATTTTTACCCGTGTAAAATATATTACACTATGTTAATATCGTACGATATCAATCATATACGTCGTAACTAAACGTAACGAAACGGACAGTTTATCGTTCGCTCGTACGTACACGATTATAAAAAATAAACAGCGGACGGCGTTCGTCTCCGGTACGTCTATAAAATGGGCGAAAAAAATAAATAAATTTAAAAAACAAAAAACAAAAAAAATCACCGTCGATATTATAATATATACTGCGATATTAATGCATTACGATTGCTATTTGACTTATCGCCGCGCGGTTTCGTGACAAATAGGTTTTCGGGGACGGGTCCGGATAATACGGGCAGGCGCCCGTACCTGTATAGGTTTCGTACTTGATTTTTATTTTCATTCTTTTTTTTTTTTCTTCTTTTTTATATATATATATACGCGCGCACCGCTGTGTTATAGGTATGCGCGTTTTAATAATATCACAGGACGGAATCGAACGCCCTCTCTCTTGTCTCCTACGCTCGTCGGGCGCTACAATATACACGCCGGGCAGCGCGTCGCATGACGTATTCGCGTGTCAAATTTCCGACCGGTAGTGCCCCCAAAAACACCGTGTGGTCAGATAGACCGAACGGACGGAACGAGATTAATGGTCAGGCTATATTATATTATACATTATAGTGTATATTATATACCGCACTTATATATACACACTGGCAGAGAGAGAGAGAGAGAGAGAGAGAGGTAGTTCCTGACGTCTCTCGAAACTGTATAATAATAATAATAATAATACCGCGGCGGACAATCGGAAATGGGTCGTCGAACTAAAAAACGACGTGCCCATCGCCTTCTCGCGTTTCACACGGCCGAAGAAATTACGGTACCCCATTGGTATAAACATATATATATATATATACATAATGTATACGTATAATATTGTAATACTCACTAAAACGCAACACACAACACGGTAATTCATATTGATTAACACCGTCATTGATCGCGTTCGGATATAATACTATAATATCGTGTTTATAATATACACGTATATCATATCGCATTTGCATGGGCCCCGTGCAGACGTCGCCGTCCGGGTACTGTCAATAACGGTGCACACCTGCGGTAATACGCAGAGCGATTATTGTATACCGTAACGATAAACGTTAGGGCACGCACATCGTATAACGCGGACGACGACACTGTGCGACGGTGCGAATATGACTCGGAAAGTGAGAACTTTCGAAAACGAAATACGGCCAATGGTGCGAAGGGGCTGAGAAGAAACCGCCAGGGGTTATGGAATAGAAATCGGAAAAAAAAGAGACCCCGGCGCAGACCCGGGAACAGTCGGCTAGACCCGTATAGTAGACGAGGAACTAAGAGTTCCGCAAGTGCAAGAATAGAAAGAGATTATTGGGGATCGGCAGAAATGGAAGGACGTTATAATGGCGACGATGAGTTTAATAGATTTATAAATGCCAGTGAATAAGATGAAGACGATTAGAATTAACGAGATTGCTCGTTGATTTCGCAATTCGGATAATATGATGATCGAAATAATTAATGATTTTTAAATTTTTTTTTTTTCACAATTCGTTCACACTTTGCAGTTCTTTCCGTGGGGAGGCCGCTGCCACTGTTGTAGGTGAATAGTAAAGAAGATATAGGATGTATACTTGTATAGAATAAATTCGATTTTATATTGTATGTAACGATAAATCATTGGAATTCAAAAACGGTTCCGAGCGGAATAGTATCCCTCGTTACCTTTTGCCTAAAAGCAAAAGGACATACTTTACACGATGGGTAAGCAAGAAGCCGTTAAACAGGTGATAAATTGGGAAGGTAGAGCGGAAATTCAATGTATATCTGTAGGTATGTACAGATTAATCATTGCTAAAAAAAAGGTATTCTTAGCGGATTTCGGTTGTACGTGTTTTGAAAGGTATTGATATTTATGACTTGAAAATAATATATTTCGTACACTTATCCGGTTTTCCCCTGTTTTTCTTATTTACTATGAAAACTCCTAGGAAAGTAAAAAAATGTCCTACTTTAAGTACTACCCCAATCAAATTTCCTTTCAGAAAAAGCGCTACACTTGAAAATCGGATCAACATTTCTGGTAGAAACGTTGGTCACGGATAAAAAAAAAACAAAACAATAAACATCATTGTAAAACCAATATATTCCTCCTTCCGCTTAGAATCTTAAAAATAGAAAATCATAAAAAAAAAAAAAAAAAAAATCGAATAAAAAACAACAAAAAAGACGAACCGTTAAAATATTGATAAATGTTTCAAATAATAAGTAGCATATTTTCGTAACGCGTATAACGCTTGAATACATCGGAGCATTTCATTCACAGAAAAAAATTGTTTATCAAGAAAAAAAACCGGCATCATTGTAAAAACTAATAGTTTCTCCGTTACACTCGGTATCCAAAAAATAATGGCGATATATTCCCTCTGCCCTTAAAGATGGCGTAAGGAAAAGTATTGGTTGCCGTTTGAAAACCAAACGACTTATATTCGTTTAAGCTCAAACGATTCCGCAATGATAAACAAAAAAAAAAAAAATCGAATAAAAAACAACAAAAATCGAATTCACTTTAAAATCCTCCGAGAAAATCGCTGACCCATGTTAAAAGAATCACCCTGTACAGACCTCGTCGGTTCACATATATTTATATAAAAAATATTGTATATTATAAGCCAACCGCTCGAATCCATCCGGCAGAAGATATTATTCCGTTGCGGAGTTATTTCTGATTAGTCAATCGTATCGGTTTTTTTTCGTATTATTTTATATTTTTTTCTATATATATGTATATTATTGTTATTTATCGTTAGTTTTTTCTCGTCGATAAAATATAACTACGCAACAAAACGATAATAATAATTATATAATGTAAATGAATTTTAAAGGTTGTTTGTTATCGCCGTACATTGTATATAAATATCTATCGCGGTGTAATATAACTGCAGTTTGGCGAATGCAAATTCGTTGCGAAAACTTTGAAATTCGACCGACTCGCGAAATAAATAAATAATAAACGGAATAAATAATAACGTCACTCGGCTATTCTTTTTCGAATTATATTATACGGAAGACAAATTTAGTTTTGCCGAAACGCGCGTACACGGTTCCCGTTTTGTTCGGATCGCTCGAATGTACGGCGAATGTAATTCGTAAACTAATGTCGCGGCGGAGCTTTACGGCGCGGCGCAGCACTGTATATTCCGCATAATTGCATATTGAAACGTATAAAACGGCTGAACTTCAAGCGCGTAGTGTAAATTCAATATGCAATCAAATTACTTCTACGCGCCTTTATTATTATAGTCGTGTGGATGAAATAAAAACACAAGTTTTCAATATTGCAATATGATCGACACGGTTATCAACTTGTAACGCGTACGACATTGAATGTCTGTCTGACGCAGTGACGTTTAACTACGGGCAATTAGCGTTCAACAGATTCCACGACGATAACAAATTTCAGGAGGAAAATTGGATGGGAATATGTACACAGTAATTCCGCGCGCGACGATAGACCTTTGCAAACGATACACGGTTCGGAACAGAATATTATTTATTCGCGTTCGTTTCGTTGTTGCCGAATCCGGATTTGACAAAAATCCTACGAAAAATGGCGAGTTTTTCCCATTTATCGAGAAGACTGCACGGAAAATAAAAAAAAAAAGACCGTCTCAATGCACTAATTAAATCGAAAATTCTACAAGAAAGTTCAAATAAAGTTTTTGTTCAGGGCAAGATTTCTGGTAGAAAAGTTTTTTACAGCCGTACAAAAAAACAGACCAATATATCCTCGCATCGCTCAAAACATTTTTTTAGGCAACAGTACATAAACACGAATAATTACACAAATTTTATATGAATGCATTGACAATTTCTTTTATCGTTTCAATTTTAAATATTTCGAAAATAGGTATAACACAACGTTGCTAATAAGCTAATATTATTATAGATTATACCTATAATATTGCGCTGCGTCAGAACGGTTGTGAAGTACCTCAAAAAACCACCAAAAAAAGGCGATTTTGAGTTTTACCGTACTTACTTTTAATATATTAACACGCACATTCTGCTACAACCAAAAAAAAAGTTAGATGAGAAAATATTGTAAGAGAAACGTATACGAGTAAATGTAATAGTGTATATTTCACTATCTCAAAATAATGTAATATTGCATTGCAATTATTGAATCGGCGAGTGGAAGAACAGTACTAGTCCGAAAAATAAAATTTGAGTAATCAAGTTTAAAGTTTAAAAATTCTGCTTGCTGTAATCTGTAGACTGTAAAAGCCAGGAAATCGTATGGCTACTTTCACATAGCTCCTAATGACTTATTAATACAATCATTGGTCATAAAAATGTTTTGTTTGTTTTAAAACGATTTCAAAAAAATCATTGGACAAGTGCGGTTTTTTTTCTCAATTAGGTTTTTGTTAATAATTTCTCTGAAAACTCATTTTAAATTTTTAAAAAAATTGTATACACTGGATAGTTAACGTAAAATACGTGTATTATGTAATAAAAATTGATTTTTTAATAATTTTAGCTTACTACGTTTTCATAAAAAAATATTTACAGATATGGAAAATAGTTTAAATAGTTCACTAGCTCAATATAGTTCAATCAATGGCGGCGCGATAGCGTATTTCATTAGGCGATGGCCTAATAAATAATTTTAGTTGCACATATTTGAAAATCAGTAAAATCTTTTAAAATTTGTGCCCCCGTGACAAATGTAATATCTATTTTCCGATTGCACTTTTCCCTTCCCCTATAAATCGGGTCCTGAATCTGTCCCCTCCACTAGAATACAGTCACGATTTTAAACCCTATTCGTCTTCCCGGTTTCCCCGAAGTTTTACCTTCATACCTAAATGTGTATAATATAATATACTGCATCCCGCAATGAATAATAAACAACCGGGTCAAGTGATTTATTATACAAGTTTGGTGGACTTTCCGGAAGTATCCCTATATACGACGTATACATAAACAGTGTCCTCTTAAGGAGGGTTTATGAAACGGAACGGGATTCCTTTACTTTATACGGATAAACGCAGCATTTAGACCAATATTTTGTCCATCTTTTGGACAAAAAAATTCCGACCAATGGCGTAATAGTGAAGCGATAAGAGTTCTGAAAACTGTTTCGTATTCAGCGCGAATAAGCGTATACGAGATCCCGGCTTGGCCGTGTTGTTACGAATTTCATTCCTTTATTTACGAAAATTTGGAAATACATGAAAATGTATATCAAAAAATTAAATCGAACAAAGTGGCCTGATCTCGTGGACATTTGACGCTGAATTCAATATTTTTTTTTTCAAAAAGTCTTATCTCTCCGCTACTTCGATCCAATTGATTACAAAATAAATCAGCCTAAATCATACAGTACTCCACGTAAGTGTTTAACGGAGAATCAATGGGAATTCATCCGTTCTATTTTGAATCCCTTTAACTTCGCACTCGGAATTAAAATAAATAGGCACATCGTGGTGTTTATTTCGTAACTAGGGTCTTTTTTGGGGGAAAGAAACAAAATGAAAATCACGAAAAGAGAATACATTCTATGCCTACTGATATATTCATGTGAAAATAAGAATCTTTGTAAATTATCTCTGAATTAGTAATCCAATTGTTGGACTGGTTTTTTTTTTTGTGATAGAATACTTCGCGAGGCAATTGTTAAGTCTAATTCCGGTTCTGTAAGTTAATAAAAATTATTGTTAAGTGATTAATTTGTGTAAAATAATTTGTTAGTATAATAAGTCTGTTGGGTACATTTATTATCTATTCGGTGGACTTGGGGGAGAAACTATTATAACATTGGCAAAGCTGGACGAAACAGTTAGTATTTTAATAAACCTTAAATCATTATGACAAAATGTCAAGTTTCCTTGTTTTTTTTTTTTTTTTTTGCTAGTTTGTCAATAATTCCGTGGTATACAATTTAAAATGTTTAATTTTAGACATAATAAATCCATTAAGTCTAACCAGAAATTAAAAAAAAAAAATTTGTACACAATTAGATTAAAACCAGATTACATACTTTTGATATTACATTATTTCGTAGGTAATTAAGTTTTGATAGGTTTTGATTTAAGAAAGAGTATATTCTGGTGTAGCTGTCGATACAGGAAGTGTACACGATATTAGGGGGAGGAAAAACTGTTATTCTGATATAAATATATCCTTGTAGTCGAGCAAAAGAACATTCATTGCTGTCTTCAAATTATTTAATAACATTGTTTTCCACATTTTCAATACTGTTGATGATACCGTATGCCCGTACGCGAAAATTGAAAGGACTTGAACCCGAAAATATTTTAAGTGGTCACTGGCCACCACTATATACATGTGTGTGTGTGTGTATAATATATATAATGTATATTGGTACAAAAGAAAAAGAATAAGGAAAAAATAAAAAAACAATAATGGAGAGAAAATACA